AGCTCACAGCAACCTCCAACTCCTGGGCTCAAGCGAGTCTCCTGCCTCAGCCTCCCAAGTAGCTGGGACCACAGGCGCTGCCACAACGCCCGTCATTGTTGTTTGGCAGGTCCGGGCTGGGGATTCGAACCCGCCACCTTAGGTGTACGTGGCTGGTGCCTTAGCCGGCGCCGAGCCTAAAGCCAAAATTTTTATCAGAGATGTTAAAGATAAAGTGATACATCTCATTAAACAAGTGAATTATATTAGCGAGGCGTGTTGTTTGTGCCTGTAGTCTTTGCTACTCAAGAAGCTGGATGATTGCTTGATCTCAGGAGTCTTAAGTTATTAATGGCTATGGTCGTATTGCTGCACTCCAGCCTGGGTGACAGAGCAAGACCCTGTCTCTAAAAAAAAGAGAGAGACATTACTAGATAATAATAAAGACCAAGATGCTATCAGGGCAGTTTTATTTCTTTCTTTTTTTTTTTTGTAACCCTTGGTAGAGTGTTGTGTCGTCATAGCTCATAAAAACCTCAAACTCAAACTCTTGGGCTCAACTGATTCTCTTGGCTCAGCCTCTTGAGTAGCTGGGACTACAGGAACCCACCACAATGCCTGGCTATTTTTAGACATGGGGGTCTTACTCTAGCACAGGCTAGTCTCGAACTCATGAGCTCAGGTGATCTGCCTGCCTCAGCCTCCTATATCAGGGCAGTTTAAAGAATGATTTCTGGGGTGGCGCCTGTGGCTCAGTGAGTAGGGCACTGGCCCCATATACCAAGGGGAGCAGGTTCAAACCTGGCCCCTGCCAAACTGCAACAACAACAACAAAATAGCTGGGCATTGTGGTGGGCACCTGTAGTCCTGGCTACTCAGGAGGCCGAGGAAAGAGAATCGCCTTAAGCCCAAGAGCTGGAGGTTGCTGTGGGCTCTGATGCCATGACACTCTACTGAGGGTGACAAAATGAGACTCTGTCTCTAAAATAAAAAAAAAAAAAGAATGATTTCTGGGCTGGCACAGTGACTCACACCCAGAATCCTAGCACTCTGGGAGGAGGCCAGGGTGAGAGGATCGCTTGAGGTCAGGAGTTCAAGAACACCCTGAGCAAGAGTGAGACCCTGTCTACAAAAAATAGAAAGCTGAGCCAGGCATGGTGGTGTATGCCTATAGTACCAGCCACCTGAGAGACTGAGGCAGATGGATCAATTGAGCCCAAGAGTTTGAGGTTGTTATGAGCTATGCTGATATCACTGTACTCCAGACTGGGCAACAAAGGGACTCTGACTCAAAAAAAAAAAGAATGATTTCTATATTTGAACTTGATAACTTTACTTCCCTACTAATCCAAAGGTTCTGGGATTTAAATAACATCTTTCTAGAAATTGGGAATTTCGTGTGTTTATTAATTTAGACCTTTAACAATTACTAATAAATATTTCCTAAAAGCTCTTCTGGGCCAAGGACCATTCTAGGTACCAGGGACAGAGCAGTGAAAACAGGTCAAAGTCCTAGCTCTTATTGAATTACATTCTAATAGGGGAAGGCAGTACTCTGAAGAAAAATAAAGCAGGAGAAGGAGTTAAAATAACTGTGGGGAGGGTGGTCTGTGTAGTGACAGCCCGTTGTTAACAACCTATCTGAACAAAGACCCTGATGAATTAAGGGAGTAAGCTTGCACTGCAGTTTGAGTAAGTACTCCAGGCAGTGGGAATAGTAAGTGAAAAGGCCTGAGGCAAAAGCAAACACTCAACATATTGCTTACTTTATACCAGGTGCTGATATGGATGTTATAGGCTCATTATAGATGTACTCATGAAGGTACTATATATTCCTATTTTACAGATAAGGAAATAATTATTGAAAGCTAAGTAACTTGCCAATAAGTAACAAAGCTAGGCTTGGAAATGAGATCTTCAGAATGCAGGATCTGAATCCATATGTTGCCTTATAAGCCATAATGAAGACTTTGTATTTTACTTTGAGTAAGATGAGAAGCCATTGGAGGGTTTTAAGTAGAAATGCAACATGATATGATTGAATTGTTAGGACAGAGTTCTTTGTGAAAAATGATCTGTGGCTGGTTACGTGTAGAAACTGGAAAGTACTATAGAGCTCATTAAATATGCTGATGAATTGGGTGTAGATGACCATGCATGGTGGCTCACACCTGTAATCCTAGCACTCTGGGAGGCCAAGGCAATGGATTGCTTGAGTTCAGGAATTCAAGACCCGCCTCAGCAAGAGCGAGACCTTGAAAAACCAGCTGGACATTGTGGAGGGCACCTGTAGTCCCAGCTACTCAAGAGGCTAAGGAAAGAGGATCGCTTGAACCCAAGAGTTTAAGGTTGCTGTGAGCTATGATGCTGTGGCACTCTACAAAGGGCAACAAAGTGAGACTGTCTCAAAAAAAAAAAAAAAAATGAACTAGATATAGAATATGAGAGCAAGAGAGTTGTCAGAATGTCTCAGGTTTTTTGCCTGAGCAACTGGAAAAAAGTTGTTGCATTTTCTATGAGGAAGAAAACTGGGCTTGGCACCTGTGGCTCAAGTGGCTAAGGCGCCAGCCACATACACCTAAGGTGGCGGGTTCGAATCTAGCCCAGGCCCGCCAAACAACAATGATGGCTGCAACCAAAGAATAGCCAGGCGTTGTGGCAGGCACCTGTGGTCCCAGCTACTTGGGAGGCGGAGGCAGGAGACTCTCTTAAGCCCAGGAGTTGGAGGTTGCTGTGAGCTGTGATGCCACAGCACTCTACCCAGGGGGACAGCTTGAGGCTCTGTCTCAAAAAAGAAAACTGGAGGAGGAGGAGCAGCTTTGGAGGGGCTAGAAAAAAGTACAATTTTGGTTTTTGGTGGGGTTTTTTTGCAGTTTTTGGCCAGGGCTGGGTTTGAACCTACCACCTCTGTCATATGGGGCTGGCGCCCTACTCTTTGGAGCCATAGGTGCCACCGGAAATCAGTACAGTTTTAAATAGTTGAGTTTGAGATTCCACTTACATGTCCAGAAAGAGCTGTCATGTTGGTATTTGCATATACATGATTGGCATTTAAGAGGGGTCAGACTCTGACCTTTGGGAGTGTCAGCATATATGTTATATTTCCTACTGTGGGTCTGGATGAATCACATAGGGAGTGCAAGTAGAGAAGAGGACCACAGGTTGAATCCTAGGGCATCCCAATAAATAGAAGATAGAGAGATGAAAAGACAAGATTGGGACAGCAAGGAAGGGAGAAAACCAAAAGTATGGTTTCCTGACTGGCAAGGAAGGAAGGTGTTTTTTATTTTTTTGGTGGGTTTTTTTTTTTTTTTTTTTTTTTGCAGTTTTTGGCTGGGGCTGGGTTTGAACCCACCACCTCTGGTATATGGAGCCAGCGCCCTTTTCCTTTGAGCCACAGGCGCTGCCCAAGGGGTTTATAGGACAAAGGAAGAATCACCTGTGTTGCTTGTTGCTGATAGGTTGAGTTAGGTACAGACTGAGAACTGTCCACTGAATTTGGCTGTGGGGATCTCCATTGTCAAATAACTTAGTGCAGTGATAGGAACAGGTAGGCACCTATGGCTCAGTGAGTAGGGCACTGGCCCCATGTACCGAGGGTGGTGGGTTTGAACCTGACCCCAGCCAAACTGCAACAAAGGGATAGCCAGGTGATGTGGTGGGCGCCTTTAGTCCCAGCTATTTAGGAGGCTGAGGCAAGAGAATTGCTTGAGCCCAAGAGCTAGAGGTTGCTGTGAGTTGTGATGTTATGGCACTCCACTGAGGACAACAAAGTGAGACTCTGTCTTAAAAAGGAAAAGAAAAAACGCTGATAGGAACAGAAACATTGCTGGGAATATTGAAATGTTTGAGAGAATGGTAGTGTCATTAAAAAATAAAAGTGAGGCCAGGTGTGGTGGCTTACACCTGTAATCCTAGCTTTGGGAGGCTGAGGTTGGGTGGTTTACTTAAGCTCAGGAGTTCGAGACCAGCGTGAGCAAGAGTGAGACCCTGTCTTTAAAAATAGCCAGGGTTATGACAGCTGCGGATAGTACCAGCTACCTAGGAGGATCACTTGAGGCCAAGTGTTTGAGGCACTCTACCGAGGGTGAGAAAATAAGTAAGACAGACTGTCTCAAAAAAAAGTAAATAATAAACAAGTATGTTCTAGATTAAAAGAAACTAAAAAGATACAACATCTAAATGTAGTATAGGAACCTTAAATAATGGCTGAAGTTAAAAAAACTAAAAGACATTTGGAGGATAGTTGGGGAAAATGCTAAATATAGATTGGATATGGTACCAAGGAGTTATTAATTTTTTTAGGTGTAACAATACTTTGGCTGGTAGGAAAATATTGTTAGAAGGCTCATACTGAAATATGTAGAGTTGAAGTGTCACGACGTCTGTCTTTCAAATAGCTGACTTTTAACTGACTTTCAAATGGCTTGGTAAAAAGTGTTTGTGGCGGGGAGAGGGCATGAGTAAAAAGAGAGATGCACATAAAAATGTCAATTTGTTAACAATTGTTGAATCTAGGTGAAGGGTAAATGAGTATTGATTGTACAATTTTTTTCAATTTATCTGTATGGGATTTTTCAAAAAAAAATTGGAGAGAAAAGAGTGAATGAGAGGAAAGGAAATGGAAATAGTAAATGTAGGGTTTAAGGGTCTTGCTGCAAAAAGAAGAAATGACAGAGCATTAGAGGGAAATTAGTCAAGGTTTTCATTTTTTGTTTCTGGAGAGTGCAGCAGATAGTAATGATGCAATACAGAGGAAAACCTGTAGGAGAGAGATGGGAATTTAAAGATGTAGTTTATACTTACACATCAAAATCTGGCTCCTTTAACAAGGAAGTTGATTATTATTTCTAATAATTTCATCCAAAAATAAATTGTTAAGACAGTTAATCATAGTCTTACATTATGTAATGTCTTTCATTTTCTGCTTAAATAGCAATATTTTTTGACTTGTTTTCTGCAGGTTGTAGGAAGTGTCCTGTATTTTACTAATTTTTGCCTTGATAAATTGGGGCAACCGCTACTAAATGAAAACCCTCAGCTTACGGAAGGATGGGAAATACCTAAGTATCCTACATAGTGAATGAAGATCTATTACGCATCTTACCACTAAGTTCACCTTTAAAAAAATTCCAAATTTTGCAGACTATGATAACTATTCCTTAATAAAATTCACTAAAGGTACCAGCAAGTCTTCAGCCACATTGTTTCTCTAGAAGGGCAAGAAATACAAGTAAAGGCAAAAAGGTTTGTGTGGGGAGTTGTTTTATTCTTTTTTTTTTTAAACCCAAACCATAAACTCTTTTAGCTTAAAAAGTTAATATTCGTTACTGCTAGTTTACTATGAAGTAAATTACAGATTCAGCTAGATTTTCCATATGTAGACATATTGTAAATGTTTAACTTGATCATCTGTTTCTTGGAATTCCCAGGTTCACAACTGATGTGCCTGGGTGGTTGGAAAGGTGTAATTGTTGCTGTCAATTTGATTTCTGTCTTAACAACCATCTGTCTTCTATCTTACATAACTAAAATATGATAACTTGTTTGCCTCAATTCTTCCGTTATTAACCACTGAAAATACTCAAACTAGGTAACAGATTAGTCAGAAACAGAATGGTTCTTGGTATAAAGACTGCATAATACTTTTTGTTTAAATCACTAAGTATAGGAGATGTGCGTGTATTTATTGCAGATGTAAGTGATTTGAGCTACTTGCTTTCTTGTCTCTGATACACTTTGCTGTCATATAGAATTTTATTAATAGGCTTTTGTATTTTTATTTACATTATCAAAATCTTTGTTTTTTGACCACATAGGCCAAAGCCTCACTGTTTCAATTGTGGTTCTGAAGAACATCAAATGAAAGATTGCCCGATGGTAAATTTTTCTCATATAAAAAAAGTCTTTGAACAAGAGCTTTGTTATATTTCCAACATATTTATGCCATAGTGTGATATAAAGAAACTTTTATTGCTTTCTTGTAGCTCTTTATTGAAATCTTTTCATATTTGTGCTTATATTTTAAGACATTAAATGTTAACAAAACAATAATTTATTACAATATTGTCTATATTTGAGGTGAATGAAACATGAGTTAATTTTTAAATAGTTTATTCTAAAAACTGGATTTTATGTTGTTATCCTATGGTAGTTAAGAAATTAAAGTGACTGCCTCTCTTCCTTGCTTTTCTAAAATATCCATCCACTTTTACACTTGTTCTCAATGCATTAAAATTAAAGTAATCTGCTTGACTTAAAAAGAGTGATTATTTTTATTTAATTTCTGAAACACTTCTAAGTTGCTTGAACCATTTTTTCAAACATACTGTGATTTAGCCCCGGAATGCTGCTCGAATAAGTGAAAAGAGAAAGGAGTATATGGATGCCTGTGGTGAGGCAAATAGTCAGAATTTTCAACAGCGATATCATGCAGAAGAAGTAGAAGAAAGATTTGGAAGATTCAAGCCAGGAGTTATTAGGTACTGCTGTCATTTTGCCATTGAATGTCATTTTTATTTCTCCAGTATTTGGAACATTCTGTATATCTTCAGGGTAATTATCAGGATGTAAGTGTACTCTATCAAGGCCCTAGGTAATATACATTAATTCATTCAAAAATACTTATTGAAATCTTAACTCTGTATTTGTTAAGAACCATGCTAAATACTATGTAATATAAGACAGAAATGTTTTAAAACACCAGGATATCATATGTTTTCGTGCCAGTATTTTTTCTCCTCTTTTATGTTTACTTAGTGAGGAACTTCAAGATGCACTGGGTGTGACGGATAAGAGTCTCCCTCCTTTTATCTATCGAATGCGACAGTTAGGGTACCCACCAGGGTGGCTTAAAGAGGCTGAATTGGAGAATTCAGGTCTTGCACTCTATGATGGAAAAGGTAAAGTATGTTAAGTTAGAGAAATCAGCTGAAGTGTTATCTTACTTTTTTTAATTAAAAGAATCAACAGCTGGGTGTGGTGGATCACCTGAGCTTAGCGTTGTGGCTGGCACCCTCTGTCCCAGCTACTCGGGAGGCTGAGGCAAGAGAATCACTTAAGCCCAAGAGCTTGAGGTTGCTGTGAGCTCTGATACCACGGCACTCTACCAAGGGTGACATAGTGAGACTCTCTCTCAAAAAAAAAAATTATCAGATAGTCATCTGTACTTGCTCAATTAGGGTGTAGTTTTCTCAGCAGTGGTGACAGACAGATCCCATCAGTGCCAACAGCCCTATAAAATTTAGAGTACAGAAACCATCTAATAGTTTAAGAGATCCTAGTTATGTATCCTCTAAAAATATTCACACATGTTGGCTTTGTGCTCCTAGCACAGTGGTTATGGTGCTGGCCATAGAAACCAAGGGTGGCGGATTCGAACCTGGCCCGGGGCAGCTAAACAACAACAGCTACAACACAAAATAGCTGGGCATTGTGGCAGGCACCTGTAGTCCCAGCTACTTGGGAGGCTGAGGCAAGAGAATTGCTTAAGCCTAAGAATCTGAGGTTGCTGTGAGCTGTGACACCACAGCACTCTACTAAGGGCGACATGGTGAGACTCTGTCTCAAGAAAAAAAAAATATTGGCTCGGTGCCTATAGCTCAACCGGCTAAGGCGCCAGCCACATACACCTAAGGTGGCGGGTTCGAATCCCCAGCCCGGACCCGCCAAACAACAATGATGGCTGCAACCAAAAAAATAGCCGGGCGTTGTGGCAGGCGCCTGTGGTCCCAGTTGCTTGGGAGGTGGAGGCAGGAGACTCGCTTGAGCCCAGGAGATGGAGGTTGCTGTGAGCTGTAATGCCACGGCACTCTACCCAGGGGGACAGCTTGAGGCTCTGTCTCAAAAAAAAAAAAAAAAATATTCACACATGTGTACAGAAAGTATATGTATTCCAGGATATTTTTGTACTACCAAATATGACAGTGAAAAATTAAAAGCAGCATTTAAGGGCTCAGTGGGTAGGGCACCAGCCACATACACTGGGTCTGGTAGGTTCTAACCCAGCCCAAGCCTGCTAAACAACAATGACAACTGCAACAAATAAATACCTGGGCATTGTGGTGGGCGCCTGTAGTCCCAGCTACTTGGGAGGCTGAGGCAAGAGAATCTCTTAAGCCCAAGAGTTTGAGGTTGCAGTGAGCTATGAAACTAGGGTACTCTACTGAGGGCAACATAATAAGAGTCTGTCTCTAAATAAATAAATAAATAAATAAAAGCAGCATTAAGGTTGTATGCAATCTTCCAGACTCAGTCTTCCAGAATGCTAGGATTATAGGTGTGAACCACCATGTCTGGCCTCCTGTAGTGTTTTTGACATTAGGTTCATTTAGCCTCATGGTGTTGTTTAGCACATTCTTTTGTCCCTCTGTTTATTTCCAGTTAATTGTGGTGGAATCAGTCAGTACTGAACATTGCCTATATTCATTAATTAAAAATGGTTGCAAGCCAGGTGTGGTGGCTCATACCTGTAATCCTAACATTCTGGCAGCCCAAGGTAGGAAGATTGATTGAGGTCAGGAGTTCAAGACCAGCCTGAGCAAGAGTGAGCCCCCATCTTGCGGTGGTGAGCTACTGTAATCCCAGCTATTCTGGAGGCTAAGCAGGAGGATCCCTTGAGTCCTGGAGTTTGAGTTTGCTTTGAGCTAGCCTGAGGCCATGGCATTCTAGCCTGGGGCAACTGAGTGCCTATAGCACAGTGGTTACGGCGCAGGGCACATGCACTGAGGGTGGCAGGTTCAAACCTGGCCCAGGCCAGCTAAACAACAAGGACAACTGCAATAAAAGCCCAGGAGTTTGAAGTTGCTATGAGCTAGGACACAACGGCACTCTACCAAGAGTGACAATGTGAGACCCTGTCTCAAAAAAAATTAAAATAAATAAAAATGGTTTACAAAATGGTTATATTCTCTCTCTCTCTCTCTCTCTCTTTTTTTTTTTTTATAACTTCTTGGCTTGTAGCTAGAATAATTATAAAATATAAACTTCTTGTCACCAGGCAAGGTGGCTCACACCTAAAATCCTGGAAAACTAGGAGACCAAGATAGGTAGATAGCTTTAGCTCAAGAGTTCAACACCAGCCTGAGCAAGAGCAAGACCTCCTCTCTAAAAATGAAAGAAAAACTAGCTGGAAATTGTGGGATCTGTAGTCCCAGCTACAGCCCAGGATTACTTCAGCCCAGGAAGGATCACTTCAGCCCAGGAAGTTGCTGTGAGTTATGACACCATAGCACTCTACCCACGGTGGCAAGAGTAAGACTGTCCCAAAATAAATAAAGATAAACTTCCCCTCATAAGTTATTTGGTTACCTTAGGTATATAGACATTATAGGACTGGCAAAGTAAATGTTTGGTTTATTTAGTAGTTTTTTTTTTTTTTTTTTTTTTTTTTTTTTGAGACAGCATCTCAAGCTATTGTCCTGGGTAGAGTACTGTGCTGTCATAGCTCACAACAACCTCCAACTCAGGCTCCAGTGATCCTCTTGCCTCAATTTTTCTATTTTCAGTAGAGACTGGGTCTTGGCTTTTGCTCAAGCTGGTTTTGAACTCATGAGCTCAAGCAATCCACCTCCCTCGGCCTCCCAGAGTACTAAGATTACAGAGATGAGCTACTGTGCCTGGCTGTAGTTTTCTCGTTTTTCTTTTCTTTTTTTTTCTTTTGAGACAGAGTCTTACTTTATCACACTTGGTAGAGTGCTGTATCATCATAGCTCACAGCAGCCTCAAACTCTTAGGCTCAAGCGATTCTCTTGCCTCAGCCTCCCAAGTAGCTGGGACTATAGGCACCTGCCACAATGCCTGGCTATTTTTATTTTTTGATTGTAGTTGTCACTGTTATTTGGCAGGCCTGGGCTGGATTCCAGCCTACCTGCAATTCCAGCAGTTAGGGAGGCCAAGGGGAAGGATCACTTGCATCCATGAGTTCAACACCAGTCTGGGCAATGTAGCTAGCAAAACCCCATTTCTATAAAAAATTTTAAAAACTTAGTTAGGCTTGATGTCACACACCTATAGTCCCAGCTACTTGGGAAGCTAAGGCAGGAGAGTCACTTATGCTGAGGAGGTAGAGGCTATAGTGAACTGTGACTGTGCCACTACACTCCAGCCTCTAGAAAAGAGCAAGACCCTGTGTCTTAAGAGGAAAAAAAGCAGTGGAATCAAACATTAAGCAAATGATAATAGACTTTCAAGCAACCCATAGAAAAAAATTCCCAAAATTTTAAATATTTATATTTTTTGAAACAAGGTATTGCTCTGTTGCCCAGGCTAGAATACATTAACATCATAGCTCACTGTAGCCTCTAACTCCTGACCTCAAGGGTTCCTCCCATCTTGGTCTCCCAAAGCGCTAGGATTATAGGCATGAGCTACTGAGACCAGCATAAGTATTTATTTTCATCAAAGTAATTTGTCCATATTGTCTAAATTAAACCCATTCTCAGATTAATTCTGTTGCCATAACTATAAACACTTCCAGGTATACTTTCAGTCTGGGGAGGGATATATATATTGGCATCTAGCAATATTAACATTTTTGATGGTTTATAATAGATGGTGCTGATGGGGAAACAGAAGTTGGAGACATACAACAGAATAAAAGTGTCACTTATGATCTCTCAAAATTGGTAAACTATCCAGGTTTTAATATATCTACTCCCAGAGGAATTCCAGATGTAAGTATATTGGGATTTTTTTTTTTTTAACTCTTCTGGGACATCTATTATTATGTTAAAAGATTATTCAGAATGTTGGGCAGCACCTGTGGCTCAAGGAGTAGGGCACTGGCCCCATATACCGCAGAGTGGTGGCTTCAAGCCCGGCCCCAGCCAAAACTGCAAAAAAAAAAAAAAAAGATTATTCAGACCGTTAACTTACATAGCAGTTATTGTTACATAAAGAAATAAATGTGATAATTACATGTTTAACTTTTTAATTAACTTTATGTTGACTAGAATCTTAAGTGAAATCTTGTATTCATCAGTAGTCTTCTTTGTTTTAAGGACCTAAGAAAAGGAGCTAAAATAGATTGATTTAATTCTATAAATTTGAAACTATGCTGAAATTAAAAGATTTATTTAAATATAGATGGACGGCTCGGCGCCTATAGCTCAACCGGCTAAGGCGCCAGCCACGTACACCTAAGGTGGCGGGTTCGAATCC